TACATATAAAATGTACAATAGAGCAAGTAGGGATCTTGTGAGGTAACATAATAGTCTAACACAATGGAGTAATAACCAATAAAGAGAACATATGACATGTGACAAGATGACATATATGATGGAATAGACAATTGAAGCAAGTTGGCTTGATATGGGCAGATTCTATATCCATATAAACATATGTACCATGTGTAATCTAGGATCACTTTGATTTATATAAGGGGAATACGTGCCAAGGGAACTTTGACGATGAAACACATTTAAGCCTTGCATGTTAATACGTGGTAGAGTAAGCACGCACATTTAGTAATAAACTCATATTAGAGTACTCACTTTAATGCTCTAGGGAGTAAGAACTGCAACTATGGATCAGTCACTACCAAGGGCACTTAGAAAGCTTACAAGTGTTGGATTCATGCCAAAGAAATAGGAAATCGAATAGCCTTATGCTGCACAACTTTGGATATTACAATGAGTTAACCATCTTCCTTTCAGATTATTTATCCACAATGGAGTAAATAATAAAACTAGCATTAGTAGTTGATAAACAAGTTTGGGCTACTTGATCAGACCAAAATAGTAATTGGCAGTAAGTCTATAATTGATCCCATCAAGGGTGTTCTTCCCACCCATTCTCCTATAATTTTTTTCATATACTATACAACCTTCTTATATGGTCCTCCGAAATTCCTCAGGCTTCATAACATTTGGAAATCAATATACAAAGGGATGGCAGGAAGTAAGCTCATGCAACACTCAATTAAGTGGTGTATCACTACACTTTCAATGTTCTATCCTATAACCAGTTCCCATGACTTCTCTGCACATATCCAGCCACACCCCCTTATTTTACGATACACAAAACAGTCCCTAAGAATCACAATGTGGAAATAGCAATATGAACATACGGCTTCCTATCAACATCCCGTGAGTTCCAACTAACATTACATTTAAGATGCTCAAAACGAGCTCACAATCAAAATTTAAGGGGACTCCATCCATGGCTTTCCCAACCAGCACCTCCTTCCTGAACATTTACCAAGCTCACACCATATAGAGACAACACTCTTAGTTCATTAACACATAAAAACTTTCACAAACAATGCAAGAACAAGAGAGGGATGAAAATTTCCATAGCTTACCTTGCTAGACAGAAACCTCACTTGCTAAGACTTGGATTCTTCAAGGTTTAGGTTGTCCTTTCCCTCTTAACTTGATGTTAAATCAGATTATTCACTTGAATTCCTTAAGATGGGCTATGTTCTACTAACTTGTACTTTAAAAACAAAGGGTTTGCTTCAGATTTTAATGGTGAAGCTATGGACCAGAACTCTTGGAGCTTCTATGGCTTTCCTTAAGAGCAATTTTCTGGAGAATAAGTGATGATGGAGATATGATAAGCTTGAGTGCTTTAGAGGTCCCTTTTGGACATTTTCACTTAATAAATTGGAGAAATGATATGGTCTTTTACTTATAAGCAAGCAGGTGTATCATCTCCTTAATTTATGCCACAAGTTTTTAAGTAAGTGCATCAACTACTTACTCTTTTCACTTAAATGCAGTCCACTTATTCTAAGTAGGTGCCTCACCTACTTGCCCCTTTTAATTTAAAACTCAGTCCACTAATTCTAAGTAGGTGCATCACCTACTTGCCATTTTCACTTAAAATGCAGTCCACTAATTCTAAGTATGTGCATCACCTACTTGCCCTTTTCACTTAAAATGCAGACCACTAATTCTAAGTAGGTGCATCACCTACTTGCCCTTTTCACTTAAAATGCAGACCACTAATTCTAAGTAGGTGCATCACCTACTTGCCCTTTTCACTTAAAATGCAGACCACTAATTCTAAGTAGGTGCATCACCTACTTGCCCTTTTCACTTAAAATGCAGACCACTAATTCTAAGTAGGTGCATCACCTACGTGTCACCTACTATCATAGTTTAGTCAAGCAAGCACCTCACTTATTTTTCACCATTTTTGAATACTACCTTTTACTATCCCGAGTTCGAATTGTTTTTGAGTTCACTTAGTCGTATATGTGTTGGAAGGCACAGTGTATTGCAACTTTAAACCTATTATATTGTCACTAGTCGCATAGGAAACCGAGTCCATAACTATACCACAAGGCAATTTATAAGCGTCATATAAATAGAACTAGTACACGTAGAATATGGGGTGTAACAGCTCAATACACCATCTCCCTCTTGTTCAAAAGCCATCACTTTTTGCTTATGAACATTTGCCTTAAATTCATGAAAAGCAGGATATTGGTCTTGTTTCTCCTTCACTTCAGACACTAGTGATGATTCATCCCCATTCATCACCACCACTCCACCTTCATTGGAATCCAACAACCGGACTCCCAATCGTGCAAGTCTGTGCACCTCTTTGGCTAATTCTTTCTTACCTTCCTCAACATGGGCAGTACTACCCATAGATAACCTGCTCAAAGCATCAGCAACAACATTAGCCTTACCTGGTTGATAGAGAATACTCATGTCATAATCCTTGAGTAATTCCAACCACCTCTTATGTCTGAGATTAAGCTCTTTTTGACTAAATACATATTGGAGACTCTTGTGATCGGAGAACACATCAATATGAGCACCATAAAGATAGTGACGTCATATTTTCAAAGCAAACACTGCAGCAACCAACTCTAGATCATGAGTTGGGTAATTCTTGTCGTGAATCTTAAGTTGTCTGGAGGCATAAGTTATAACTTTGCCATTATGCATCAATACACAATCCAGTCCAACTTTGGACGCGTCATAATACACAACAAAGCCTTGTATACCCTCTGATAAGGTCAACACTGGGCTAGTAGTCAATCGTGTTTTCAATTCCTGAAAGATTTTCTCACAAGCTTCCGACCATTGAAACTTTGTTGTCTTTTGAGTCAACTTTGTCAACGGGGATAAAATAGATGAGAACCCCTCGACAAACCTTCTATAATAACCAGAAAATCCCAAGAAACTTCTAATATCAGTTGGAGATGTGGGCCTAGGCTAGTTCTGCACTGCCTCAATCTTCTGAGTGTCAACTCGTATCCCTTCAACAGCTACAATGTGTCCTAAGAATGCCACGGACTCAATCCAAAACTCACACTTGGAAAATTTGACATACAACTCCTTATCCACTACTAAAAATATTGCAAAAGGAGACCTTAAAAAAAGAGACCTCAAAAATAGGTCGCTAAAAAGAGACCTCATGAGGTCGCTATTTGCATCAGTAACTTTTTTTAATTTTTTCTTAACAGGAGAGACCTCGTGAGGCCGATTTCATAAAAAAATCTTCCTAATTAATAATATAAGTGACTTATTTTACTTTTTTTATTTTATAGTATGTTTTCGTATAAAATATGCGACCTCACGAAGTCACTATTTGTTAAAATAAAAAATACTAATTTAATTTTAGATACCTCGTGAGGTCTCATTTTATTAGTCAAATTTTTTAAATAATATTTTAAAATAAGAGACCTTGTGAGGTCTCTTATTTTTATTAAATTAATATAGGAGGCATTTTTAAATTAGCTCATCTTCTTTCCCGCTCTTCACCTAAAAGCTAAAAAAAAAACCTAACTTGTCTCTTCCCCATAGCTTTACAGATGTGTAGCCTCCGATTATCGCTCAGTTAGAAGTTTGAGTTTTCACCATCAGTTCGAACTGTTAGTTTTCACCATCGAAACTCGCTCGGTTTGAAGCCCAAGTTTTCGTCGTCGATTCAAATTCTCTTTGTCGATTTCTTTCTCTGCAAATAAAGGTGAATCTTTCAGTCTTTAAACCAAGTTGTTACTGTATTGTTTATTTATTGCAAGCATTCATCAATGCAGACTCTCTCTTTCAACTTACTGCAAGATTCAGTAGAATTTGTGATTCTCTTTTCACTATATGAACATATAATTAACTTTGGGTTTTACTCTTGTTCTATCTTAATGTCCTGTTTTGACTTCTCGTGATGATTAACATGAATGCTAGCAAGTTTTTATATCATATAATTTAGAAGAAGATACATGGGTATTAATGAATAAAGAAATAAAATTTGTTATGAAGATTTTGTATTATATTTTGAGATTATTATACTTTATATCTCACTCTAAATAACTCCTAATAATCATGTGTTGAATTCTGATTTAAATTTAGAACTAATATCATTTTGGTTCATGTCTCTGTATGTATTTTAGTTGTTTTTTAACCAGAGGAGAGGAAAGTTATATATATATAAATATATATATATATATACAGTATAGTCTATTGATATAAACCATCGTGCAATAATGAGCGAGGAGAGAAAATTAAGAAACCATTGTACCCAGAAAGGTCCTTGACCCTTAATAGTGCATGTTGGCTTCATGTGATGCATTTGCTTTCATAGAAATATTGAACAACATATATGGTTGTCGTTGACTAAGTCATTTTAATTGTTGGTGTTCTATTGGATCTCCTTTAGAGCCATTGTTTCTTTCTGCAGATCCCGACAGATCTTACTACCAGCCTTGCGGTCGACTTTTTCGGTTAGTTATAAATTCATTATAAAAAATAGATATGCTTTATTTTTTGTTCTTTGTTTATGAGAAACTAAGATGACATATGGATCTACCTATTATTTTATTTGTTGTAGTAATGAGGAGAGGAAAGTTATATGCATACTATAGTCTATAGATATAAACCATTGTGCAGTAATAAAGAGAGGAAAGTTAAGAAACCAGAAACCATTTGACCCTTCTGTAATAGTGCCACCTTTCTACTATTCTTTTAATGATGTATTCTATTTAGATTTATTTAGGGAACGGGACAGTATTTGTGACAAACTGTTGAGAGAACTATGCTTTTGTAGTCACCAAAGATACATTTATTCATTTGCACAAGGCCTCGTTAAGCAGACCCTACTAGGATTGTTACAATTTGATTTTTAGTAAATTATTACATAATTTAGTGTTTGACAAATTCAAATTTTTGTGATCTTTATGTAGATGGATCGTAGTTGGATGTATAATATGACTAATTTTGGTCGAATGGGACTAAGACATGAATTTGTAGAAGGTGTCACTGGTTTTGTGGAGTATGCAAAGACACTAGAACCTTTTCAACGTAGTGGTATGATTAAGTGTCCTTGTAATAAATGTCAATGTTTGAATTATGAAAAACCAGATATTGTTGAGCTTCATCTCTATCGAAATGGGTTTAAAAGGGAATACACAGTGTGGACTAGTCATGGAGAAATTGATAATAGCTTTGATGTATTTCAACATTATGTTCTTGGTGAAAGTAGTAGCGCAGTGAATTCTAATGCACAAAATTATAGAATGCATGACATGGTTCAGGATGCGTTTGGGGTGCATTCTGATTTTGAATCTGGTAATCAAGGTGAAGAAGCTCCTAATGTTGAATGTAAAATTTTCTTTGAACAATTGGAAGCTGCTAGTCGGCCTTTATATGAGGGGAGTCCACATTCACAGTTGTCAATTGCTGTTAGATTATTAAGTATCATATCAAATTGGAATGTTCCTCCAGGGGCAATGGACTCTGTGATTGACCTTATGCATGATTTAGTTGACCCAAAGCTAGAGATACCTGATAATTTCTATAAGGCAAAGAGGTTGGTATCAAAGTTAGGATTGTCATCGATGAGAATTCATTGTTGTGAAAATGGTTGCATGTTATACTATAAGGATGATATTGATCTAGAATCGTGTAAGTTTTGTGGAAAATCTCGTTATAAGCAGACTCCTAGTGGGAAGAAAGTTCCTATTAAGGTGATGCATTACTTACCTCTTATACCAAGGTTAAAGAGGTTGTATGCATCTAATAGATCTGCTCCTCATATGAGATGGAACCATGAAAATAGAAGACCACCTGGTGTTATGTTCCATCCTTCAGATGGAGAGGCCTGGAAGCATTTTGATAGAACATATCCACCGTTTGTAGCTGAACCACGGAACATTAGATTGGGTTTATGTTCAGATGGATTCACGCCACATTCTGTTTCTGCTGCACAATATTCTTGTTGGCCTATATTTGTAACACCATATAATCTTCCACCTGAGATGTGCATGACCAGTCCATATATATTTCTCAATTGTGTCATTCCTGGCCCACGGAATCCAAAAGTCTTTATTGATGTATACTTGCAACCTTTGATTAATGAGTTGAAACAATTGTGGGTTCAAGAGGTTGAAACATTTGATGTGTCTCTTAAGCAAAATTTTAATTTGCGGGCTGCCTTAATGTGAACTATTAATGATTTTCCTACATATGGAATGTTGTTAGGGTAGATGACAGCGGGAAAGTTAGCTTGTCCTTGCTATATGGAAAATACTAAATCATTCACTTTGAAACATAGTCGTAAAAATTCTTGGTTTGATTGTCATCGACAGTTCTTGCCAATGGATCATGAGTTTAGGAGTATGAAAAATGCATTCAGAAAGAATACTATTGAACAAGGTTGTCCTCCTCCAATCTTGACTGGAGAACAAGTTTGGGAGAGGGTTCAACACTTTCCAAAGGTTACAAAAGAACAGCCGTACAAATTTGATGGATATGGTGTTGCACATAATTGGACAAAACAAAGCATATTCTGGGAGTTACCATATTGGAAGGATAATCTACTTCGACATAATCTTGATGTCATGCATATCAAAAAAAATTACTTTGATAATTTATTCAACACAGTAATGGATGTCAATGGCAAGACAAAAGATAATGTTAAAGCTAGAATGGAGTTACCAGAATATTGTAGGCGAAAAGAATTATGGTTGCAAGAGAAATAGAACAACAAGTTCTTCAAGCCTAAGGCTAGTTATTCATTTACATTGGATCAAAAGCGTAAAATATGTGAATGGGTCTAACAACTTAAGAAGCCTGATGGACTTGCTTCAAATTTGGGAAAACGTGTCGATATGGAGCACGGAAAATTACATGGTATGAAAATTCATGATTGACATGTCTTCATGAAAACATTACTCCCCATTGCATTTAGTGGCTTGCCCGATAGAATTTGGAAACCTATGACTGAAATTAGTTTGTTCTTCAAGGATTTGTGTTCTAATACGTTAAGGGAAGACAACCTAGTTCAAATGGATCAGAATATTCCTATAATTACAAATAAGTTGGAGAAGATTCTTCCACCTGGATTTTTCGATGTGATGGAGCATCTTCCTGTACATCTGGTGCATGAAGCACGCCTCGGAGGTCCGGTTCAATATAGATGGATGTATACATTTGAGAGGTAAGTGTTTAACTCTTAATAATTTTATATCAATATTTTGTTAAAATCGATGATAATATAATATAATGTAGGACTATTGGAAAGTCTAAACGGGGCATGAAGCAAAAACATAGACTTGAAGGCTCAATGGTTGAATTCCATCTTGCTAGGGAGATAACTGATTTTGGTTCTTATTACTTCGAAAGTAGTGTGCCATGCTTTCAAAATAGACCCAATCGCCATGACGATGGTGGTGAGACTATGAAGCCACTATCAATCTTCAATCAACCAGGCAAAGGTTCAAAAACACGTACGAGGAGGAATCTTAGTGCCATGGAGTTTAAGTCTGCATCGACACAAGTCTTGTTGAATTGCCCACAAGTTAAACCATTTCTTGAGTAAGTTGTTGTTTTTGCACTAAAATATGTAATTACAAGGCAAAACAACTAACTGAATATCCATCTTCTTTGACAGCTACTTTGTGCATTTATATGGCAATGAAAAAGTGTTTGAGCATTTCTCAAAGTGGTTTCAAGATTATGTAAGTCTTATAATATTTTCATAATACTATCATTATTAAATAAATCTATATTTAATTGATAGCTAATTTCCTACTTTTCAAATATTTATAGATTTATGATACAAAAAATGGTCAATTTGACCAATTTTTGAAGGACCTTTCTTGGGGACCATCAAGATTTATTCAATGGACAAGTATCTTGTAAATGGTTTTAAATTCAATACTGAAGAATGCTCCAAATATAAAAAAACTAACAATAGTGGAGTTTGGGTGAAAGGTGGTGATGGAAATCAAGATGGAGTTGATTATTATGGGGTACTCAAGGAGGTTTTGGAAATGGAGTATTCCGGTTGGCCTATAAAAAAAATTGTATTGTTTAGATGCAAGTGGTTTGATCCAACCCCAAAAAGAGGTACGAGAGAAATCAAATAATATAATATCATTGAAGGAAAGCACACAAGGGAGTATGAAGCATATGATCCTTTCATTAAATGTTAAGCAAGTGTACTATGCTCCTTATCCCTTGCGTCCAGATAAATTAGATTGGTGGGTGGTGATTAAAACCAAACCCATAGGTCGTGTGGAAGTTGAAAACATGTTGGATGTTGCGTACTAGGATGATGATGTATCAAGTGTTCACCATACCGTGGATGTTGAATTAGAAAATGATTTAGAGTATCCTGAACACATATTAGAAGAGGTTGATATAGAACAAATAACAGATGAAGCGGCAAATGCATCAATTAATAAGGAAGAGTTGTTCGATGAAGAAGAATGGTCAGAAGAAGAGGATGAGGATGAATTGTAATTAGTATGTTGAGTTTATATATATATATATATATATATATTACTTTAGTCTTCTTCTTAATTATTTTATATTGCATTACTAAATTGTTTCTCGATTCTCTGTTAAAGTGGATCCTCAATTTTTAAATTGTTTCAAAAGTAAGTATGTGGTCCTTGTACTTTTAGTTGTTAATTTAATTTATATGAGGTTATTTGGTAGTATTTCATTGAATGCATAGTTTATTTATTAGGTGTATTTAGGTTGTCTTGATATGATTTAAATCACCTTGAGATCAACAAGATGTATGTGACCACCTATCTAATATATTCAAATGTTAGAGAGGATATACTTTAAGTTCCTTAACTTATATCTTCAACATTTTCGTTTCTTCATGTTGTTAATAGTACTTGTTGTCTTTAAAGGTGCTTCTATAGTTTTAGAACTCAGTCGTTTCTAACAGACGGCAGAACTGATCGCATATATGGGTGAGAATCAAACTAATACTTTGAGTTAGAGAGAACTTTTTTTTAAAAAGCTACAAGAGAGTATTGAATGGATGAAATCTGCAAGTGAGTATTCTGATTACCTATCTCTAACCAGCGTCTTGAACTGCTCTAAGAATTCGATATTGTTTCTGTATCACCATTTGCTTTTTGATTTGGTAGATGTGTCTTGTTTATGTTACACATTTGATATCATCAACTTTGGTCCATGATAAAGAGGGCCCTGAGTTTCAACCTAAACCATGATAACACTTGCATAATTGAACTAAACTCAAGGTAAATTGATAACACTTGAATTGAATTAAACTCAAGGTAAATGTTGTGATATCCTGTCCTACAATCCCCAAGCAGCCTTGAAAAACCCTCTCCATAAAAATACATTAATCTTTATAGGCAGCCCTTTAGTCCATATATAGTCAAAGATCTGTATTTTCTCCTGTTTCCATCTTAATTCATTACATGCTGATTTGACTTTGAACTTTCCATTTGAATTTCCCATCCACCATGATGTGTCATTATCTACATTGACTAGTTGTGGGCTGATGTTATCAAGTATATGCTCCGTTAAGTCCGTAAACTGCTTGCTTGACTTCTTCCAGGTCTGGTAGTTTTGTAAGGAAATCATTCTGCTCAATGGTGACTAAGGTTGGAATGTTTTGTAACATATCATAGTTGGTTGGCCTGTTGTGTCAAAGAATAATTTTGAGAAGTCAAAAACAAAATGAATCACTTCTTTCTTTATAGTTTGCTTGTCATTGAAGGCATGCTTGATGCTTCAACTTTGGCAATCTAGTAATTCCCTTATCAGCTTGAAAATGATAGCTTCCTACTGAGATTAGCATTGTCCTATAAATTTTTTTGCAGTTGAGTGCTTTCCTTTTTCTTTGCTCAGTCAAACTAAATATGGACATTGGACATAGTCACAGAAACAACAATATAATGCCAAAAAGGTCTCTGAGTATTAGCAACAAGGGGAGAATGAATCTCCATCCAGGGAATAAAATGATGTTAATTAAGAGAAGTTACTCGTCACACCCCACCAACCCCTAGTTTACTTATTTTGCATTTCACCTTTCCCTTTTCAAGATGAAATTTACTTATTTTTTCTTTGAAGTTGTTCTTATTTGATAAATGAAATGACATAACAAACATTCATGAACATAACAAAACACACCAGTAGTTAATTCAATTTCAGCTTTAGTTAATTTTTATTGAGACTTTACTTGTTACGTAAATTTCTAACCTTATTTGACTTGAATGTTTTGTTACTTAGATGGCAGGTGGTAATAAGAATAAAAATATTGATAATGCCCCCAAAAAGAAAAAAAAAGAAGGATGGTATGATTAGTAGACGACCGACAGGGATATGTATAAGATCAGACTCCACAAATTCTATCCTATCAACAGACACTCCAATACATTGCTATTCTAAGCAGACCGAGCCTTATAGCCGGGTGCCTCCACATATTAATCCTCTGTCGACCTATATGCATCCATCATTGGAATATACTCAGTCGCCCCCCCCCCCACGTACTTGTGCCCACATCAGGGTATACTACCCCACATGGATACAGTGTTTTGCCTCCAGAGGCTAACCGACCAACATCTAGTGACTCTCGCACAGTTACCCACAACCCTATAAACTCACAACCTTCATCATCATCTACTTCACAACTTGGGATGTCGAGTCTTCGCCTTCAAGGTAATAGTTCGGAGCCTAACACTCCTACCACAAATCAGTCAGCTACACTTGGTCGGGTCCTTACACAAGTTGGCGTGAGAGATATGCACAATAGACTTGTCATCGAGCATGACGGCTATACGTAAGATTTTATTTTTTACAAAATATCCTATGTTTATGATTGTCTCATTTAATTGTCTTTGTTTTAACCTGTAACTGTTAAAATTTTGTATTACAGTTTCAATCCAGATGATACTGTGGGGATCATTTCTCAAGCAATCAAAGATCTCTATAGAGATGCTTTTCCGACTTGGGGAAAGATGCCAAGCAATCTCAAGAGACAAATTTTTTTGGAGTATAGAGTATATTAAAATTTATTGCTTTAACACTATTTAAATACTTGTCTTCAATAATACTTATTAATTGAAAATTTTATGGTTTCATCGCAGAAAAAATGTGCTTGGCGTTCGGAACATGAGACCAAAATTTGTGCAAACTTTCACAAGAAAGATGCACGTGTTCTCACTAGTTTGTT